GAGCTTAGGACTTTAATTTATGAGCTTGTAAGTCTATGTTCAGGACCAAGTGTCCTTAACTTTTGAACTTGTAACTGTAAGTTAAGGACTACCTGTCCTTAATTTTTGAATTTGCAACTCTAACTTCACGACCAAGTGTCCTTAATTTTTGAACTTCCACTCTAAGTTCAAGACCAATTGTCCTTAACTTATGATCTTATTACTCTAAGTTCAAGACTTTAATTTATGAGCTTGTAAATTTAAGTTCAGGACTAAGTGTCCTTAACTTTTGAACTTGTAACTGTAAGTTAAGGACTACTTGTCCTTAATTTTTGAATTTGCTACTCTAACTTCAGGACCAAGTGTCCTTAAGTTTTGAACTTTCACTCTAAGTTCAGGACCAATTGTACTTAACTTATGAGCTTGTTACTCTAAGTTCATGACTTTAATTTATGAGCTTGTAAGTCTATGATCAGGACCAAGTGTCCTGAATTTTTGAACCTTTAACTGTAAGTTAAGGACTACCTGTCCTTAATTTTTGAATATGCAACTCTAACTTCAGAACCAAGTGTCCTTAATATTTGAACTTCCACTCTAAGTTCAAGACTAATTGTCCTTAACTTAAGTGCTTGTTACTCTAAGTCGAGGACTTTAATTTGTGAGCTTGTAAATCTAAGTTCAGGACCAAGTGTCCTTAACTTTTGAACTTGTAACTGTAAGTTGAGGACTACCTATCCTTAATTTTTGAATTTTCAACTCTAACTTCAGGACCAAGTATCCTTAATTTTTGAACTTCCACTCTAAGTTCAGGACCAATTGTCCTTAACTTATGAGCTTGTTACTCTAAGTTCAAAACTTTAATTTATGAGTTTGTAAGTCTAAGTTAAGGACCAAATGTCCTTAACTTTTGAACTTGTAACTGTAAGTTAGGACTACTTGTCCTTAATTTTTGAATTTGCAACTCTAACTTCATGACCAAGTGTCCTTAATTTTTGAACTTCCACTCTAAGTTCAGGACCAATTGTCCTTAACTTATGAGTTTGTTACTCTAAGTTCAGGACTTTAATTTATGAGCTTGTAAGTCTAAGTTCAGGACCAAGTGTCCTTATCTTTTGAACTTGTAACTGTAAGTTAAGGACTACTTGTCCTTAATTTGTGAATTTACAACTCTAACTTCAGGACCAAGTGTCCTTAATTTTTGAACTTCCACTCTAAGTTTAGGACCAATTGTCCTTAACTTATGAGGTTGTTACTCTAAGTTCAGGACATTAATTTATAAGCTTGTAAGTCTAAGTTCACGACCAAGTGTCCTTATATTTTGAACTTGTAACTGTAAGTTAGGGACTACCTGTCCTTAATTTTTGAATTTGCAACTCTAACTTCAGGTGTCCTTAATTTTTGAACTTCCACTCTAAGTTCAGACTAATTGTCCTTAACTTATGAGCTTGTTACTCTAAGTTCAGGACTTTAATTTATGAGCTTGTAAGTCTAAGTTTAGGACCAAGTGTCCTTAACTTTTGAATTTGTAACTATAAGTTAAGAACTACTTGTCCTAAATTTATAAGCTTGTAAGTCTAAGTTCACGACCAAGTATCCTTAATTTTTGAACTTCCACTCTAAGTTCAGGACCAATTGTCCTTAACTTATGAGCTTGTTACTCTAAGTTCAAGATTTTAATTTATGAGCTTGTAAGTCTAAGTTCAGGACCAAGTGTTCTTAATTTTTGAACTTGTAAATGTAAGTTAATGACTACTTGTCCTTAATTTTTGAATTTGCAACTCTAACTTCAGGACAAGTGTCCTTAATTTTTGAACTTCCACTCTAAGTTCAGGACCAATTGTCCTTAACTTATGAGCTTGTTACTCTAAGTTCAGGACTTTAATTTATGAGCTTGTAAGTCTAAGTTCAGGACCAAGTGTCCTTAACATTTGAACTTGTAACTGTAAGTTAAGGACTAATTGTCCTTAATTTTTGAATTTGCAACTCTAACTTCAGGACCAAGTGTCCTTAATTTTTGAACTTCCACTCTAAGTTCAGGACCAATTGTCCTTAACTTATGAGCTTGTTACTCTAAGTTCAGGACTTTAATTTATGAGCTTGTAAGTCTAAGTTCAGGACCAAGTGTCCTTAACTTTTGAACTTATAACTATAAGTTAAGGACTACTTGTCCTTAATTTTTGAATTTGCAACTCTAACTTTAGGACCAAGTGTCCTAAACTTATGACCTTGTTACTGTAAGTTCAGGACCAAGTGTCCTTAATTAGGAATTGAGGACTAACTTATAAACTTTCTAACTTTGATATTTTCAAAATTTTCAGGGGATAAACTGATATATATGCTGAGGATAATGATGTGAGAAAGAATCCATATAAATTGTACCATCAAAAAATCAGTAGCAAAATTTTCTTCCTTGAGCTTTCAGATAGTAGCTTTGTACTTGATGATAAGGTTTGATAATTCGCAAAGTATTTGTTTTCTTTCTTCTTAATTTATTGTTTTTTAATTATTTATGACTGATGGATTTTTTTATTTTTATTTTTTGTATTTTTATGAAACATATTGACATTGCCTTGTATTATTCTAGAAAGAAGGAATGCTACTACCCTTGCGCCCATCCTTTTTGTTGCACAATTACAGATATACTTTTTGATAATTATATGCTACTTGTGTATAAGGATTTCAATGAAGATGCTTCAGATAAGGTTTGGTGTGGTGATAATCAATTGGTTCTCACACCATATGTGTGGGGTGACAATCGTAGATGTAGAATTACTTGGACAGAGGTTGACAAAATCTTATTTCCATGTCGGCTTCCTTCAGAAGATAATGATGTTATGACACATTTTCTTTTGGGGGTATTGGATTTGAATGAGAGAAAGATTGATGTGTACGATTCCATATATAGTGAGCCATATGAGCAAGGAATGAAACACATTTAAATGTATGCACACATGATCCCCCACTTGCTAAAGTTCTCACAGTTTGAGAAAAATCACAAGTCTTTTGGAAATGCATTCAACAAATTTGATATTCAGTGGCAAAGATCACCACACAAAACTGGATCGTACGTGTTGTCATTTGCTATATAATTTATATGTACTTTAGATTTATTTTATTAAAGATATTATTTAATTGACTCCATATCTTATATTTTTCTTAGGACTGATTGTGGTACATTCCTAATCAAGTATGTGGAGTTGTTGATGATGGGAAAGGATGTGGAAAAATTCCAACCTGAGGACATATCAAACTTCAGAAAAGAACTTGCAGCAAATCTTTGGGCACATGGAGAGTGGAAAAGAAATTATGGTTATGATACAGCACCAAAAAATGTCGGCGATGACTATGATCGTGAAAATTAAACTTCTTGCCCAAACGAGTTGTAGTGTAGTCGTAAAGAAAGCCAGTTGTAGTGGAATTGGTATATAATTGCTGTAAAGAATCCATATGAATTTTAAAATATCCTGTAAATTGTTCACAAGGCACTTTATTTTATTTGCATATCATAATTATTTGGTCAAAGTTATGCCAAATTACAGTTTCAGCAGTAATATGAAGGCATCGTGTTATTAATTTCTTTCTTTCTGTTAACTATTGATTTGTCCATTTTTTCACAGTTTTAAAGGGTCAATCTTTGATTAAATTATCTTGAAGTTTTTAGAAATTCAAAGCAACACACATTGATTATTGTAGAACTTCAGGATCTGTTAACTTCATCCTTATTTGTTGAAGGATAAAAATAATATTCAGGGCATATTTTTTTAAATGTCCTAAACTTCTGGAAATATAGACAATAAATTGAGATTTTCNTGTTATTAATTTCTTTCTTTCTGTTAACTATTGATTTGTCCATTTTTTCACAGTTTTAAAGGGCCAATCTTTGATTAAATTGTCTTGAAGTTTTTAGAAATTCAAAGCAACACACATTGATTGTTGTAGAACTTCAGAATCTGTTAACTACATCCTTATTTGTTGAAGGATGAAAATAATATTCAAGACATATTTTTTTAAATGTGCTAAACTTCTGGAATATAGACAATAAACTGAGATTTCCAGAAGTTAAGGACATTTTAGAAATTTATGTCCTATATATTAGATTCATACTTCAAATGTTCAGGACGTTTCAAAAAATTATGTCCTGAAGTCTACTTATACTAATCTCATTTTAACAATAAGATGTAGCAAGCTGCAGATGTCAAGTTTTATAACTACTGATTTGTCCATTTTAAATTGTTAGTCTTTTATTAAATCTGTAGAGATATAGCAAAAGATACATTGATTATTGTAGAACTTCAGGACATAATGTTCATAAACATCCTGATTTGTTGAAGGATGAAAATAATATTCAGGACATATTTTTCTGAAATGTCCTGAACTTCTGGAAATCTAGACAATAATCTGAGATTTCCAAAAGTTAAGGACATTTTAGAAATTTATGTCCTTAATATTAGATTCATACTTGACCTTTTCAGGACTTTTAAAAAATTATATAAAGAAAAGGACTTTCTTGTTTATTTACGACAAGAGTAAAATCCCATAAACAATAATTGGTCCGACAAAGGTAAATTGAACTCCCAGAAAAAGAAAAAAAAAACAAAGAGCACGTAAGCGCAAAGAAACTTCAAAAATTCAGAACATCTTTTATATAACCATCTGCTAATGTTTACTTACTCAAATAAAAACAATCTAAATGAATCCAATTTATAGCAAAAACTTAAAAGAGTAGATAAACATAAGTGGATATATTTATTATTCTCTATGCTTCCTTGAAAATGGATGGACTGCCGGAGAATATATACAAGATGTTCTATTATGACCAATTCTTCTGCAACGACCACATTTGAATGTTATTTTTGATGATTCGGTAGCTGGAATAGGCCTTTTCTTCTGTCTTATACCTGGCGGGACTTTGAAATTTGGAGGTTTAATAATTTGTGACTTAACACTCTCTGGTACAATCCAAGAATCCGTATGTCCTACATGATATATTTGTCTTTCATATGTTTTCACTCAAGATTCCTTTAAGTGCCAGTCCGAGCAGAAATTGGACTTCTTGATGTTTCTCTTCTCGATAGCTGCAATTGCATGTACACATGGTAATTCATAAAATTGAAACTGAAAACAATCACATGTTCTTTTGTTTAAGTCCACCAAGAAAGTAATTCCTTCTTCCTCAACTCTAGATCAATAGAGAAGACCTCAAAGTTGAAAAACTATAAGTTAGTACATTATGTTAAATTATCATTAAAATAACAATCTAAAGTAAGAACATAATACTTACATTTAAAGTAAAAGCTAAATCTATCTTTTTCTTCAATTCCTCTTCTACCCAACAAGAAACGTCATAAAAAGTTTTTTCTGCTTCATTTCTTATTTTATAAAACCAACGTTGTAGCTTCACTTGGATGAAATCCATCATTCTTAATATAGGCAGCTCCCTTGCTTCTAATAGCACATAATTCATTGACTCGACTATGTTTGTTGTGAGCATGTCATATCTTCGCCGTGGACTACAAGAACGTGCCCATCTTTCCGGTGGTTCTTCCATCAAGTAGTCAAAAGTCTTCTTATCAACTTTTGCTATATCTGACATGTATAGATCAAATTCTTTACGCATGTATATTCTTGCAGCACTTTGGAAAAGTTTTATGATCTCACTTTTTACTTTCCTTCGCTTTAGGTTCTGCTCCAAATGATAGATACAAACCCCATAGGAATTGTTATTTTCAGATTCTGCAATTCCAAAGGCTAGTGGGAATATTTGGTTATTTGCATCTTTTGAAACTGAAATCATTAAAACACCACGATATTTTGACTTCAAAAAAGTTGCATCAACAGCAATCACTGGTCTACAATGATTCCAACCAGCTATTGATGATCCATATGCATAAAACATATAAAGAAACCTGAAAATACAGTTTAACAGAAGGTTAAAAATACAGGACACCAAATCCTTAACATTTACACTACACACATCAAAGTTAAGGACAGCTTGTCCTTAATATTTTCACTGCACACATCAAAGTTAAGGACACCATGTCCTTAACTTTTACAATGCACACATCAAAGTTAAGGACATCATGTCCTTAGCTTTTTCACCGCACACATCAAAGTTAAGGATATCATGTCCTTAACATTTTCACTGCACACATCCAAGTTAAGGACACTATGTCCTTAATATTTTCACTACACACATCAAAGTTAAGGACACTATGTCCTTAATATTTTCACTACACACATCAAAGTTAAGGACACTATGTCCTTAACTTTTACAATGCACATATCAAAGTTAAGGATACCATGTCCTTAGCTTTTTCACCGCACACATCAAAGTTAAGGATATCATGTCCTTAACATTTTCACTGCACACATCCAAATTAAGGACACCATGTCCTAAAGTTTATAAAACAGACTAATAAACTCTTTTTGATTGTTTACCTGTTGTTGTCATTTATCTTTATATTAGTGTATGTTCCCGGGTTTTTACTTTTCATCATATACAAGTATGAAGACAATAATTCATAATTCCATTCAGGAGTTCCTCTTATTAAAGCTGAAGCACGTTGAATAGCACGCCACGCCTTGTGATAACCAATGTTTAGTCCATGCAATTTTTGCATTTCTGCCATGACAAAGGCTGGTGTAACTTCAAACCTTGGGTCTCGAAAATTGTCAATAATTTAATCACTAATCAACTTTGAAGTTGCATGCCTTTGATCAACTTTCATAGTGTTAACTGAGCAGTCATGATGCCCAAAAATTCGCGAAGTGTTCCTATATACCTTCTGTCCAGGCATCTCGCACCTGCGGCCCCTTTTCTCGCACTCGCGCGACCGCACCTGCGGTCCAAGGAGCCGTACCTATGCAACTCACTTAACCGCCCAGACTCCGCATCTGCGGCAAACCCGTCGCACCTGCGAAGGCGCACCTGTGCGTTTCCTCCGCTTCTGCGAAGCCTGCCCAGCATTTCCTTTTTCCGCATCTGCGCCCCAGGTTTCGCACCTGCGGGCTCGCATATGCGACCTCTAACTCGCACCTGCGCAACCTGCCTAGCCCAGCGTTGCCCGCACCTACGCACTCCCCACGCGCACAAGCGGCCTCGCACCTGCGAGGCTTTCTTCCGCAGGTGCGAAAATAGCAGTAGCAGCAACTTCAGCTGTATTTTTCAATTTCGACAAATCCGTTAACCACCCGAAATCACCTCGAGGCCCTCGGGACCTCAACCAAAAATGCCAACAAGTCATATATCAACATACCAACTTAGTC